AACAAAAAAAAAAAAAAAACTGGGGAACAGGTAAATAAAAAAAAAAAAAAAAAAAAAAAATATAATTAATAATAATAATAATAAAAAAACATTATTTTAATCACAAATAATAATGACCTTATTTTAAGCATTAAATGAATCACAGCTTATTTTATTTTATTGATGGCCATAGTTTTATATTTCACTTCAGGTTTACACATTTAACAGCATTCTATTGGTGAGTAGTAATATTTTTATTTGTAAAATACAAAAAAAAATATTAATATAAAATTAATAATAATAGTAATAAATAAATTATAATTAATAATAATTATACAAATTATAAATTAGATTTTTTTTTACATTATTTTAATCATTAAATGAATCACAAATTATTTTTATTTTATTGATGATGACCGTAGTTTGAAATTTCACTTCAGCTTTACACATTTAACAGCATTCTATTGGTGAGTAGTAATATTTTCCATATAATAATTTCTACAAAGAAATATATTTTATTCATTATGTATTCATCAAATATCATATAATTTGATGAGATCTCTGGCTTGGCAAATATGAGCACATTTTGAGAAATTATTGAGAAACACACGGGGAGAACAACCTGAGAAGCAGAAGACTTCAGCAATTTGCCCTCCATGTAATCTAAGTGAAACTGAAAACAGATTTCTTTTGTGATATTGCTGTCCTATTGAACATCAAACAGCTTGCTTCATAAGGATGAAGACATCCAGTGCAATTATGTCCTGGAAACCATGGTGATTAAATTGGGAATAGTTCAGGATGTCCACCCACATTGTCATTTTCAACACAATGAGCTGGTGATTGACAGGGAGGACTGCGCCATTAAACGCTACTCACCTTTTTCATTATCTCACTTTAGTACATAGATCTGAACGATGCAGCCAGCCATAAAAACATTCACACTTTTCTGTTAAATGGCCCCTAGAGATGGCAACAAAAACACAGCCAGAGACAGGAAAGTGTCATTGGATTTGTTGGAATAGAGAGAGAGACAAACAGACAGGAAGAGATCTATAGACAGACAGAATACGACCTTGGGCTCTACAAACTGTGAAAATGCCAAAATGCGTGACAGTTGCCTTACACAGCAGGTCTGTAAAAGCAGAATGCAGCTAGTCAAGCTCCTCTGAGCAAAACAGAGGATTAAATCGGTGACTTGCTCATTAAAAGCAGCTGTGTATCACTAACGGAGGCTCTACTCCCTCATGTGGGTACCTGCTTTTTGCATTAGCGTAATGCACTTCAAAGAATACACGAAACAAAAGAGGCTGGGACCTGACAGATTTTCACTTGATGAGGAAAGTCACAGTGCAGGCATAATCTCAAAATGTGTGTCTTTTTAAAAGAACGGTAGAGCTGAACATCCTGTCATTATTTACTCACCCTCATGTCACTTTAAACCCATATGACTTTCATTCTTTTGTGCAACTTAAAGAAATAGCTCACCCCCAAAAATGAAAATTTGCTGAAAATGTGCTCACCCTCAGGCCATCCAAGATGTAGAAGAGTTTGTTTCTTCATCAGAACAGATTTGGAGAAATGTAGTGCTACATCACTTGCTCACCAATGGATCCTTCTGCAGTGAATGGGTGCCGTCAGAATGAGAGTCCAAACAGCTGATAAAAACACACAATCCACAAGTAATCCACACGACTCCAGTCGATCAGTTGTGAAGCAAACAGCTGCTTGTTTGTAATAAATAAATCCATCAAGATGCTTTTGACTTCTAACGGTTGTTTCCGGCTAAAATATGAGTCCTTTATCCATAATATCGCCTTTTCCAGTGAAAAAGTTGTCTTGTCTGAATGAAGAGAGAAATATGCACAAATTAAGCTTTGTGTACAAGCGAAAACAATCCAAAACAGTTTTAAATAAATATGTCAGTGGATTTTGATGTAAGAGGACAACAGGGAAAGGACATTTTCACTGTTATGATTTATGGATTTTGGCAAGAAGCCACAGTTTAAAGTTAAAATGCCTTAATGACGGATTTGTTTCTTACAACCACACAGCTTTTTAACTTCACAAGACTTTAACTGATGGACTGGAGTTGTGTGGATGTTGCGTGGATTATTGTGATGTTTTTATCAACTCTCATTCTGACGGCACCCATTCACTACAGAGGATAAATTGGTAAGCAAGTGATGCAATGCTAAATTTCTCCAAATCTGTTCTGATGAAGACACAAACTCATCTACAACTTGGATTAGCTGTGGGTGAATACATTTTCAACAAATTTTCATTTTTGGGTGAACTATTCATTTAAAAGGAGAAACACTTTTTATTTAGAAGGACATGAGGGTGAGTAATAAATGTCAGACATTTTATTTTTGGCTGCACTGTCCCTTTAAGCCATCACACATTTAGAGGATCATTGACTGGATCAGGATGAGGATCACATTTATCATGACTGATGAGTTTTACCCCACGTCTGGTTAGCAACTGCTGAATCTGATTGCTAGAGGCTAATTTGTTTAGCACAAGCTAGCGATTCATCCAGATGAACTTTGCGCTGATCAGGGTCCAAAGGAGGAGACGCGGAGGATGACAGATGGATGTGAAGAAATCTGATTAAGACCTTACGCACTGGAAACATCTGGTACATGGCAGCCTAAAGCAGCAAGCTGAAGGTATCTGTCACAGATGACTGAAATAAATGAGTGTAAACTATTTTAATACTGAAATCTAGCCTGTGCATGTTAACAGTTTGGCCCTGGATTTCAAAGGCTTGTTTGAGTGAAGGTTATGGTTTTAAAGTACCTTCTGTTCAGTAAACAAATACATGTGTTTTGGATTATCAAATCAGAATGGCTTTAATGGAATAGTTCACCCAAAAATGGAAAATCTGTCATCAATTACTCACCCTCACGTCCTTCTAAACCTGCACGAGTTTCTTGTTTTCTATTGGTTGCTCTTTTTGCAATAAATTGTGGTGGCTTTCAAGCTTCAAAAAGATGCAAAAGCACAATAAAACACAAATCACAGACATATGAATATTTCAAATCTTCCAAAACAATATGACAACTGTATCAGAAACTGCTTATTCAATTAAATTCTTCACAACTCTTAATTATGAATCACTGAGACTGAATCATTCTTTTGAGTCAGATCTTTTAAATGCATCAGTTAATCAGGTCTGAATGATTCGTTAATGAATTCAGGGTAACACTTTACTTAAAGCCTTTATGCTTAATGTGGTTTTGATGCATTAATTATGCCTTGTAATGCACTTTATAATGCATTGTTCAATCTCATGAATAATTCTAACCACAGTTATCAACACTTATCAATTAATTGTTACACTATGCATTTTAAATTCAGTTATAATTATTTACGACAATGTATTACAATGCACATTATGAATAATTATAATGTGATAAACCCTTTAATAACATTTTATAATGCATTATACATAAAGGCTTTAAGTAAAGTGTTACCGACACTTTTTGAGTTCAATTAACTTCTTTTCAATTAATTGTTAATCCAATTCACAAAACAAGTCTGAATGATTTGTTCATGAATCAAACTGATCTGGTTCTGAAGTTAAACTGACTCAATACTGTGGTCACATGGATTCAAAAGATTTGAAATAAGGCAGAAAAGTTAAATGAACTACTATTATATTATATTATTGTGCTTTTATGTCCTTTGTGAACCTTGAAAGCTTCAAGTCCCATTTATTGCAACTGCATGTAAAAGAATAGCCAATATAATTAATCAAAATTTCTCCTTTTGTGTTATACAAAAAAAAGAAAATAATAGTTTTGAAGGACATGAGGGTGAGTAAACAATGGCAGTATTTTTGATTGAACTAATCCGTTAAAGTCAGTGAAGCATGGGCAGGAAGTTGATGATTTCTTAAAATAACCTTCTTCTGAAGGTAAAAAGCACTCCCTCTCTCTCTCGCAGTGTGTTTGCAGAAAGGAAATCAACAATAGTCACTGCTAATGACTGGCGGCAATCTAAAATGGACGATAATGGACCAGGGACTTCTGCCTCATTTTGTCATACACACAAAAAAACGTGGACACGCACATAGACATTAAATACAATAGTGAATCACAGGCTTGGGCCAAATTGCGAAAAGTTTATCAAAAAAACATCTGCTTAATGAGCCTTTTGTTTTGGCCACAACAATCAGTCTGCATTAGTAAGCAGCCAATGAAGGAATAATTAATAAAAGCAATCCGCCTGCTGTCATAACAACAGTCTCATTGCAATCTCAAATGGAGCAGTTTGGATTCTGTCTAGTCTCCATTAAGAGTTAATTATACTGTACACACAGCAGAACTTCCTCTTTCCTGTTTCATTCCTCTGTTCCCTCAAAGAGAAAGTTCTTGTTGTGTCAAAAACAATATGCTTACAGTTCTCCAGACTGAGCTGGAGGGAAAAAGAAACAGGGAAAGGGAAGCACGTTTGCATGATAAAGCTTGTCTTTTTTTAAGGAGTTCAATCATCTGAGCATTAAAAATTCATATTCTTGATAAATATCGAGCTCTGCTTCTTAAAAAATAATTAATTTTAATGTGAAAATGTACATTTTTCTTTCTGTTACTTAATGATTTAAGATGACATTTTAATTAAATGAAATGAAATATTGTATGATTTTGAAACAAATAGCACTGAAATTCAACAATAAAACTGAAATCACAGGCATGTTTTTACCTATCATCTATAGACACGTGTGGAAGTTACGTTGGCAGCAGAAGGAGGCTGTGTGTGTGTTTCTATCAGGATCACATTACTTAGGCTATTTACACCCTTTGGCGGGCACCATGCTGTAAACTTCGAAATTCTGTTTCACGTTCTGCCTACCGCTTAATAACAAGTTCTTTCTCACTTTTGAAACAATACATCCAGCTCTTTATTTAGTAGCCTATTACTCCATGTTTCGTCACTCTGAAGGGGCAGAACATTTTCTTTAAAGGTCCCATATTGTACACCTTTCTGGAGTTTTATTTTAGGTTTTGATGTCCTTTAGAATATATATTTGCGGTATAAGTACCAAAAACCATCTAAATATATTTTAACAGCTCCTTTCTCAGGAGCTCTC